GTCCCCACTATACATATTATGCGGCGTGTCATGTGCTGCCATGTAACAAAGCCAAGCACATGCGCACAACTTGGCCCCCGCCAAAGGCTGTTCTTATTCCGAATAGAGTATATTATACTGCAAGAGGAAAAAATAATCAAGAAAAATAAAATATAAAACAATATTGAAGTTTTAATAAATTTTTATTTAAGAGCATCCATTTTGAACATGATAAATATTATTCGAATTACATAATTTATTTTATTTTGTATAATCTAAATTAATAAAATTTGAATTCGGACTAACAGTATTTTGTAGGAATAATATTAGCTGATAAATATTGAAGAGATTTACTTTAAAATTTTCCACATGGGTTTTGTAACATTTAAGAATTCAATAGGATTAATTTTAATACATACAGAAATTATTAAAACACAAGTAACACAAATAACATATAAATTCTTTAAAAATAGATTGATTTGAATTAACCACAGAATATTATACTTCATTTAAGCCATTTAATACACATTTTTGTTGAAAATTGACCAATGTAATATTAACATATTTTAAGGTTTCATTTATAAACATTTTAATTAACACAAAAAAAAAAAAAAACACTTAAATGTCAAGTCAATGAAGGATTAAATTGACAACCTTATCAAGTCAGAAAGTGTTAATACAGTTAAAATTACTGGGATATTAAAAATTGTATTTGTGCTTTCATTATAATATCATAAATTAACTTAAATAAAAAGGAATACATTAATATATATATATAATAATAATGATATATATATATATATAATTTGAAAACATCCCTCACCAGTGTTGAGAAATAAGGTTGCAAGACCAAATTTATGTTTACTTATAATTATTAAATCGCTCAAAACTAATTTAAACTATCCACATAAATTCATAGCCAAGGTTAAATTTGAATACTACAACAAAGTTGCAATTTTGTAAAAATTATTATTGAATTGGAATTTAGAAGATGAAGGAATATTAATGACTAGGTATACTTAAGTGAAAAAATACTTTTTGATATTGAAATACTTTAGTTCTTCAGTTTTTAGATTTAAGGCATGTTCTACAATATGGAACTATGAACTAATAAAAAATTATAGCAAAATACTATGTATACTTATAACAAAATCTAAACGTAACAAACCGTTCATGAATTTGTATTCTAATGCTTGGGAGTGAACATCGACCATCAATAAATCTAAAATTAACTTAAATCTAACCTATGACAAGATGAAAGCGCCTTGACACATTCTTCAATCTTGTACTCTAATCACATTGATGTAACCCCAATATAGCAAAGTTTACTAAACTCATTTAGAATATTATATTTAGTTGTGTCGACTATGACATCAAAGTACTAAGATACAGAAATTGTATTTCCTATTATTACCTAAACATATTTTGAATGAAATAATTTTCATTTAATATTAACTTAATATAAAAATTATTTACACTTACAACATGCCATTTGTCTTGATTAACAATAATGAACATGTTATCTATTCATAAACATGCAATCAGGTCGTCAAACTAACGACAAAACTTAAGATTAACTTAACAATATAAAAATTATGTATGTGAGTCATGCTAAGTCCAATTAATACAAAACAATTATATTACTTATAATAAGTAACTTTAATTTTTTTTTAAATATAATTTTTATATTTAAACTTAATATTAAAAATATTTACACTTACAACATGTCAAACGTCTTAATTAACAATTTAGAACATGATATCTATTTTATAAAAGTCATTTAGCATTTTCTACGATGAATTAATGATACTAGCTTAACAGTATCTTAAAAATACAAAAATTAATTACACTTACAACATGTTAAAATGTCTTGATTGACAATAATAAACATGTTATCTATTCATTTACATGTAATCAAGTGGTCAAACTAATGACAAAGCTTAAGATTAACTTAACAATATAAAAATTATGTATACCCACAACATGTCAAAATACTTGGTAAAATATTTAGAACATGATATCTATGTTCATTACTTCTGAGTTCTTTTAAGTAAAATTAATAATTAAACTTAACATTAACTTAATACTTATGTAAAATATTTACACCTACAACATGTCAAACGTCTTAATTAACAATTTGGAACATGATATCTATATTTTTAGTGCGTTTTTCCATTGAGTCAAATGAATGACTAACCTTAATACTAGTTTTACTTTATCTTAAAAATACAAAAATTAATTACACTTACAACATGTCAAAATGTCTTAAATAACAATATTTAACATGTTATCTAATTCCACCGGTCATTGGCCTTATTTTTAAGTATTCACTTAAAACAATAACAATAATTAATACATTAAAAGGAAACATCATTTTAGTGTTGACTTTCCATAATTTAGCTGGGGATAAAATGAAACTATTTGCAGTAATATTTAAATTGCTTTTTATCATAGGTAGGTAATTGTTAAACTCAAATATTGTAATATAGGATTTAAATAATAATTTTTTTTATATAGGATCCATGATTTTGGGTTAATTTTTTATGTTGACGTCTCCAACAAAGAATCGTAACTCAATTTTACAATTGTCTACCTGCTAGGTATTACAGTTATTCCAGAATTCCCATGAAGACATAGTAACTCATTCTCATTGCATTTAAAGTCTTTGATTTATGCCACAATCAGCGTTGTTGGACATCCAAAAAAACATTAGCATCACATTGAAAAATATATTCATAAAATTGAGTTGTATCCCTTGTTTGTTGCGGACGTCGATGTGGCAGTAGTATTTCAATTTAGAATATTATTACTTCAAAAATTAATAATACTAAAAAAAAATTTAGTATTTGAATATGATTTGAACCTATCTATTATATAATATCTATTAATATTTTACTTTTTAATTTTAAAACTAGTCAATTTATACTTTTATAGCTCCTTAGTTTTAAAAATATTACAGAGATAATTATAAAATTCAAGGGAAATCCAGATATTTTTAAAAGCACGTATTAAATATGACAATTGAGGAAATGGATTTAAGTACAGAAGAAATTATTTAACAGGACGCTACACAAGCATATTTTATTTGTCCAAACAAGCATGGAACAATTTTATCCAACATTGAATCACCAAATTTAATTTTAATACAATTGCAAATGTTGGAAGTTTTTTTTTTTAGATATTTTAGTATTAAAGACAAGTTATAATAAAATATTGCAATAAAAAAATGTTCATAAAAAACTAGTTCTAATTTTTTACATTATTTTAACTAAAACATTTTTCTTATAGATATTTAATTTTATCATTAATACTTAAAAATTAATATTAAATGAGATTTAAGTAATATAAAAAATGTAATTTTGTTCCTAAATGGGATTATTAATTAGAAAAATAAAATCAAAATGAAGTAAATTAATATAATGAGTCTAAGGTTCAAGCTGCCATGATTTAAATAAACAGGTTACTTGTGGAATTATATCGGCTTGGATTGTATCCTAACATAGAAAATTAATATTTTTTTTTTCATTAGTTTACAATAATATGCTATATTTTATAATTTAATATTTATAACTATATTATATTCAATGGAATAGGGCATGCAATAACCTGTTTATATTAACTATGGCCCATATTTTCACAACTGAGATTTTTTATTTAATTTAATTAATTTTTAAATTGTTAATCACGCTGAACTTTATCTATCAGTTACAAAAGGATATCAATTAGTAAATAATAATACACTTATTTAGTAACTTATTTTAAATAGTTTTGTTATTTTATTATCTTAAGCATTAAAATCTTAATGTAATCTGTACTTAATAAAATAATTTAAACTATTAAAATATATACACTTATTGCAACTTCATGTTAACCATAAGTTAATGCTGTGAAGTTGACTCTAATTCAACAACTGACTCGCTTTTACCTAGTTTTTCCTAGGATTTTTCCTCCCTAACTTAATTATTTAACTAAACCACGTCAAAATAATAAACATTAAAACATTTTGTTCAAAATTAAAATTAAATGTAGAGCGAATTTAAACCTTCTACTGTTATCATAGTGAGAATTCTGTAAAAAGATTGTTTGATGATTTACTATTACTTACAAGGCAATTTCGACATGGTTTGTCAAATACAAATAATAACTTATTTTTAGTACTTATGACTTATGAATATTGTTTAGTTTATTACCTTACTTAACTGGTGAGGGAAATATTGAAATTTTAATAATCGGGTTTAATTAAAATAAAGTATCACAGTGTTCTTTGAAAATAAAATTTATAGGGGACGGTGTGGCCGAGTTGCGACGTTGCGTCACGTGTCCGGAGAATAAGTGCTGCCATTTCCCATCCCGAGACATGGCAGAAACCTACGGGTGTCCCATTAGAAATTCTGCCAAACACGTGTTCCATCCCACCCTACAGTTCCACAGGCTAATTACCTCGGTAGTTGAAGCCTCAACCCCCCCCCCCCCAAAAAAAAATGTTATAATAAATAAATAATAATTAATAACTAAATGAGAAATGAAAAATACTTAATTTGACTAAATAATGTAATAAAATGCAATATTGATTTTTAATACACTTCTTCCATTAATATAATATATATATTAGATTGGTCAATATTATAACTCTTTATTATATATTTTTAAAAACAGAAATTAAGTAGTTTACCAAGAAATAAACATTATCACTAGCAACAGTAGTAAAAATAAAAATAGAAATAAAGTAGCAATATTATTTATCTTGTTTTTAATGATAATCAGGACTCATACATTTTATAAATAATTTGAATAAGACAACGATGGATTGATTTTTACAAATGCAGCATTTGTATAATATTTGCTTCTTTTTTACTTACTTTAGCAATACACACATAAGATTGTTGGTGTCTCTGAGGACATTCAGTATGGTGTTTATGCCTGCTATATACCAGAAAATTTTGTCGGAATGATGATGGGTAAGACGAGTAGATGTGTTCTGTGGTATAGTCTGTTGAGCAGTCATTGTCAAGGCTAACTTGCTAGAGTGCTCGTTCAAGTGTTTCTATGTGCAACGCCAGATAACAATAATCAATGTCAGCAAAGAAAAGAAATAAAATACGGATGATTGTATTATCTTGAAACAATGTATTACGATTTTGACCTGAAAACATATTCATGAATTAAACTTTGTTACAAAAAAATTATGGAAGATAATAAAATTCCTATAAGCTCTTATTTTTTTTTTACATTGAATTCTATTTTTTGACAATCATTTGGTAAAACAATGGACTGACATATTAACATCGTTATCATTTGATCTACATCAGAATTATTTTAATTAGTTAAGTAAAAAAAAATATGAATTTATAATTATAATACTAATAATATTCACACTAGTTGACCCAGCAAAGTTGTATTGCTTGTCAAGTTTTTTTTTTTATTATTATTATTTTGGCAGCACCAAACCAAAAATTTAATGTGAGAGTATAGAGGTGAAATTGTTAGCTTTTTTCGACTTCAGAGATTATACTACAAAAAATTCACAATATTTTCATATATATAATATAAAAATATTGAGTTGATATTTTACCACTGTTATGCCTTCAATAGGTTTGAAATATAATATATTTATTGTTAACTGATCTCCCAAGTATAGTTTATAGATGTTTTCCCTTCTTATTGAATGTATGTACTCACATAAAGTATAAAGCCAAAACATATAATATTTCGGGCTTCTTTTATTAAATTATATGGTATGTTAATAACTAAGTATATAAAAATGTTGTATTTGACATTTTAAAAAGATAATTTCATAGAAAATAAAGAAATGTACATGACATAATAAACAATCTTCAACAATCATATTATTAAGGTTTTAATTTATTACTGTAGGAAAATAGTTTACCACCAACTAAACGTCCTAACATATATTTAAATAAGTAAGAAGCTGGGTAGTGGAACAAAAATTGTTCAATACTTTCATAAAAAAAATGAGTTTAACTGGTTATAAACACCATTGTTTTGTTCCAGATTAAATGGAGAACTATACGAAAAAGTATAGTTCATAATTTAACTGTTAGCATAATTTACCACCAACTAAACGTCCTTACATAAAATTTTATAAAGGATCTGGGTAGTGGAAACAAAATTGTAATTACAAAAACTATAGTAGACTGTGATAAAGGAATAAATTAACTATCTAATAGTATCTACTACCTACATCCTAAAAATAATAGTTAGGTATAGAATAGAGGGTCAATATCTGCACTATAACATTAATTGTCATTTGTATATGCGATTTGAGGTTATTTTATTATTATCTAGCCTCAATTTACAAAGATGATTCTTAAATCTTATTTTCTGTAAGTACTTAATTAACAAAACTACCTATCTACACTTTAAATACACATTAGCTTCAATTTAAATTCAGGTGTCTTGTATGTTTGTTTAATTAGCCTAACTCCCTTCAATACTAAAAAGAGTGAATAATTTAAATATGGTGATTTCTTAACTTTAAGCTTATATTAACTGTGTCATTACTACATTGGACTTTTTAAAGATCATGTTTACCTCCGTTAGTTTAAAAATTAGAGGGACCTCTTATTAAAGAGGTAAAATTAAAATATAAAAAGACTTTGCATAGATCAGCGTTTCTCAACCTTTTTTCATTTACGGTACCTTGACCTCTCACCACTGCTTTACGTACCCCCAAATGTAAATTAATTATATGTTCACATACAACACAAATAAGATATTATGAAATAAGTTCGATGATGGAAAATTTGAAAATAATAATTATTAATTAATTTAATTAGCCATACAACGTACGTATATATATATAAGTAATATAAACTTAACAATTTAATTTTCACGAGACCCTTGGGCCCTTTGCTGGCACATAATTTTTTGAAATCTGGCTCCTCGGATGATTAGTAAACTCGTAAATCTGAACTCACAGAGAGTCTATTACGATACCTATTTATAATGTACGTGTACGACGAAAAGACCCTCTCCACCAATATAGTACTCACTACTCGTGAACGGCAGCAGAATATTAAATGCTTTGTTTGAAAGCTCAGGATATTCTTCTTTTACGTCAAAAGCGATGTAACCGATGAGAGATTTTTTTTCAAATATTACCTCAAGTGAAGAATTCGTCCTGAGTACAATAAGTTTTTCTTTTTCTCGTACTGATAAAACTGCAGATTCGAAAAAAATATTTTTCGAAATATTATTAAATATTTCACAAATTACAAACCATTTAAAATACATCAATTGTAATTTTTTCCGCCATTACGCTTTTTTTCACGTATCCCCTCATACCTTCTTACGTGTACCACAGGTTGAGAAACGCTGGCATAGATAATAAAATTATAATTTTATTTTATAGGTCAATTCACTCTAATTTTTAATGTAACAGAGCGAAACATAATCTGCTGAGCGTAAAATTTGCTGTTATGCACTTGTAAGAAGAAGACATCATATGTTGGTATAATGTCCTCTTAATATCAGAAGTAATGACACAGGGTGCTAAAAATACATTTAGTATGTTGCGTGTGGGTCAGAGAGAGAGAAAACAATGTAAGTTGATATCCTCTTATCAATAATATCATTCTTATAAAAATTATTAATATTAAAAGTAAATTGCATTTTTACAACATCTAGATGTAATAAAAAAATTAATTTTACATCAGACATTACAGCAGTTTTCCGCAGCAAATCTTTTAACAGATAAACTCAGAAGAGGGAGCCTGTTTAAGTCATCATTGAGAAGTAGAAGTTAAGTTAATGTTTTATACTTTACAGGGAAATTGAACACTGCTTGGTAAATAATTATTTAATAACTCAGAAAATGGTTAGTTCTGCATTATTAAATTATGGGTTCTCTCAGATGAGGGAGCCTGAAATTTTCATCACAGTAAATTATATCTATTTTAAGAAATACATTTAAGACTTAGCTAATTAATTTGTTCTACATTCACTCAGAAAAAATTGGTTGAGATTCTGCATTATTTAATTTTGGGTTCTCTCAGATGAGGGAGCCTGAAATTTTCATCATAGTAAACTGTTTCAATATTTAAACAAAGCACAAAAAATATGAAAACATAATATTTTGTAATTATCAGCTGGAATGCTGAAAACAAATAATGCCATATTATATTAAGTAGCCAAGAACTCAATTTATGACTGAAATAAGATTAAAATTCTCAAGGAAAACAAAAAATTTTACATAATGAATAATATAAGATCTTATGTGCAGTTGTGTACATTAAATAATTCTTGTTGTTTCAACACTAATATCAATATACTCACTCAAATGCGAAAACCCTATTCAGGGTATTAAAGAAGACTGTTATGCATGTACATATCTCCATCTATCCAAACTACTGTTACCATGTGATACGTTGACATTTTTCATGACAAAGAACCAACTAATAATCAAACCAAATATCAGAACTATTAAATATCGTTAAAGCCTTACAAAAAATTAATAGATTAGATTCATACAAAATTGTAATAGGTAGGTATATTATTAAAGGTTTTGAATGATGCGGTTTGGTAGTACATTTTAATTTATATGAATTTAAGGTATAGTGAGTGATTGTTATTGAGACTTAATGGAGCATACAACAACGAAACAAAAATTTAAATACCCTACTTTACACATTCAAAAAAGTTAAAAATAAAAAAAAAATTGTTGGGGACATATTTTTTAACAATAAACAATGGATAATCTTTTTTTTTCAAAAACATTTATACTTATATTGAGTGTTCAATGTTAAAAGATATACCCCTGTGTGCATTAATAATAAAATTATTTTGAGATTATAATTGTTATAAATTACCTATAAATCTTACAGATATCTGGAGCAACTAGGTTAATTAAAATTAAATAAGAAATAAATGAAATTACTTGAATTGTATGATTAATAAGGATACAATCTCGAGAGTAATTTTATTATGATTTAATTACATTGACCTGAAAATTGTTGTCGCTAACCAATTTTTTTGTTATTTTGATACTTTACTCATTTGCTTACATGGAAAATATGCTGTAAGCAACAATTTGGAATGTATGTCTATAATTAAAATTATGGCCAGTAGCAACAATTATTGTGCTGCTAACTACTCACATATTACTTAATCATTAAAATTGAGTGTCCAAAACAAATTTTGTTTGTAAGATGTATGCAGAATTGTTTTGAATTATTTTGTGTCCTTTGCAGCACAAAGTTTGATCATTGAGGATAACATGGTACAAAATAATGGTATAACTAAATGAAAACTATGTATGGTCATGGATTTGTTAGAGCGTTGTCTAGTGTCGCATACAGCAATAGCATTTTCACTGACGATATATAATATATATATTTTAAAGAACTAGGTAGGAAAGTAATTACCTCACAATTATTTTTTTATGACAAATTAAAGAATAAATAATACAAAATATTAATGTTTAAGATAGGAAGACGTTATTTTATTAATAGAAAATTTCTGCAATTTAAATGTTTCCAAAGTTGCAGTACTACTTTGTCAGATTATACAAAATGGTAGTTACAATAATTTGGAAATTATTTTACCACTCACTAAACGTCCTCAACTAGTAAGGTACTAAGCGGGAAGCTGGGGAGTGGACTATTTCTTTGCATAATATTAATATTGAAAAGGTACATATATACTATGTTCATATTAAGAAAAGTACTCAGCGGCGACCAGCAAACACTCATTTGTTGTCCCCACCATCATGTATACCTGCAGTGTATTGACAAGCACCTACACACAAGTTGGCCACCAAATACGTTTCTTAACTTTAACAGGGTACAGATAGAAATTAAATATAAATATATATCATAAGTACATAGATAAACTGAACACATTAATTGTGAAGTAGGTACCTATACCTATTTAATTCATTGCATGAATGTAATTGTTTCCAAAATTGCAGTACTACTTTTAAGGCACAAAATAGAAGTTACAATAATTTGGAAATTATTTTACCACTCACTAAACGTCCTCAATCAGTAAGTAACTTAGTGGGAAGCTGGGGAGTGGATCATTTCTTAACTTCGGAAATTATATAGGTACTGGGACATAAAGATATTAATTTTATCTTGTTTGACATCAATCATATATTATTATAAAAGACCAGATTTATATTCTCTTAAAATTCCTAAAATATGATGCTTATATTCTCTTAAAAATTTAAAAAATAAGCTAAAATATGCAAAAATCATTATATTATGCTTTAATATGCATTTAGAAATTTTTTTTTTCAACATTATTTTAATAGTGAGGTATTAATTAGGTATTAAAGTTGCATATTCTAATGGAGAACTATTGCACTTTAGTAAGAGTTGGAAATGATAAAAAAAAAATTTTCTGGGTACCGTAATATTAAAATTAAAAATAAATACAAATTTTTTATCACAATTTATGAAATATTCCAAAATATGCTAAATGGGTTAAATATTCTCTAACCCATGAAATATTCTCAAATATGCAAAAAAATCTTTTTTCTATGCATTCAGAATTGAACGAATCGTCCGCATCTTTTACTCTCATAAGACTGCATAGAGTATAGACCCAGTAACGATATGTGAAAACATATAAATCCAGTCTTTAATTATTATGCATCAATACATTGAACATATTGATTGCTAGTAAATTGCTAGTACCTACTTAATTCATCTCATAAATGTAAATGTTTCCAAAATTGCAGTACTACTTTGTTAGTAAGTACAAAATAGTAGTTACGATAATTTGGAAATTATTTTACCACTCACTAAACGTCCTCAACCAGTAAGTAACTTGGTGGGAAGCTGGGGAGTGGACAGTTTCTCTACAAAATTAAATAAGTACCAACGTGATATTTAATGATCTTACTTATCACACATTGTTGAGTAAAACTATTTTAATAAAATTCATTAATATAGGTAGATGTTTCCTAACTTGCAATACGACTTTGTTATATTGAACAAAACAATAGTTACGATATTTCGGAAATTTGTTTACCACTCACTAAACGTCCTCTACTAGTAAGCAACTTAGCGGGAAGCTGGGGAGTGGACGATTTTCTCGGATGAATAAATATGTTGAATACACATAAACCGAAATTAATTTTACAACGAGTCATCAATTATCACATAAATATATGAACTAATTTTAAATCATCTCACGAATGTACATATTTCCAAAATGTTAGTACCTATTATTATAGCCGATTTAACTTTGATTCAATTATCGAAAGGATAAATCGGGTAAACCTATAAACCTAGTGTAGAAAAAACAAATTTGTTCACGAACACAGTAATAGTTACTACTCGACGACAAATACGCAATCAGGAGGAATAACCTGAAAGTAAGACCGACAACAAACCCATGACCCAACACGAGGTAAGCGATAGGCAAACCACAGATCAATCGATAGAAAAGGGGTGGGGGGGGTGAAAGGGACAAGCAAACCACGAGGTGTATCGCGTCACAAAATAAAAATACACGACGGCAGATGTTATCGATTATCCGAATACCGCCGATGGAATAAGGGATTGATCGTGGTGAAACGTTACGCCACGGAACGAGCGTTCGATCGAAAATAAGACTTGGGGTTTGCGCTTTATAAACGAGGGACGCATCTTTTACGAGTATCGATTTAAGGTTATGGATCAACATTGTGGCCGGACGTCGATACTTACGTTGTTTTTCGTCGAGGCGGTGGCCGGGCGTCATGTTGCTACTGCCAGGCTGTGCTAATGAGTGATGCGTTGGCCGTACCGTCGTAGATGAGTGAGTGCCCGTCAGTCGGTGGACAATGGACATTCGAGATGGCGGGCCACGCGCCGAGATCGCAAATATGAAATCCGCCAGCGACGGATGGATGATGGTCGGACAGTGATGTCTTAGCGCCAGAGCCAACAATCAGTAGTTAGGAACAGAACCAAGCAAGTCGAAACCGCGAACCGACAGGGCGACAGACGAGTCCATTGCCCGCGGTCCGCGGCCGAGCCAGCAGCGTGAGGTACGCAACAGCACAGTACACGGGCAGTAGGACGACAGCAAATAAAATGAGTAAAATATTAAAATGCTAATTGTCCGCACTCCGCAGTATGATGACAGGAGTGGGGTAAGGTCTACCACATAAGTGCAGACTGCAGTGCTTCCACATGATCACATGTTCACAAGACTTATAATAAGTGGTAACACTCCTACGCAATTCATAGCACCAACTACAGCCCCACGATCATGAACAGTTTGACCAACTCACTCACCGTTGTTCTGAAGGCTTCACTGTATTTCATGTTCCACAATTTCTCTCAAATTTCAAAATGAGATGATTACTCGGGGCCCGGGGGCGACCCGACACCCGAGTTTTCGTAATTTCGTTGGGCGCTGGTCATAATTAACCTATATGACTATATATATCTTAGTTTTTACGCTCGTCTAAGCTTTAAATACTCGTAGGTAATAAGCTACTTGTCGGAAAATTGATTTAGATACATCAAAACCCTCCAAATTCCATTTGAGATCTTGTAAAGAATATCCCACCAAAAACATATATGTAAAATGAGAGCCAAGTTCAATACTATAATATATGCCTTGGTTGTTGACTTCAACGACAAAAGAAGTGAGATCTAAATGGGTGCCAAGTTAGGATAATATATTGAAGCCTAAGGTGTGACTTGGCTACTTTTCATATACGAATTATTATTATAAGTACCTACTAAAACAGTAATGGAAGAGTGAAGATGATTTTCCGAAGAATAAAATAAAAACTCAAAGCTTTAGAACTTGCAAATGCTATAATATATAATTCGTAGCCAAGTCAGACCTTAGGCTTCAATATATTATCCTAACTTGGCACCCATTTAGATCTCACTTCTTTTGTCGTTGAAGTCAACAACCAAGGCATATATTATAGTATTGAACTTGGCTCTCATTTTACATATATGTTTTTGGTGGGATATCATTACTTTTTGTATGTAAATTATTATAACCTAACCTAACCTAGCCATGACGTATTCTATAAATAAAGTTTATTACTATATAATATAATTCAGTTACTAATATTAATAATAATATTTATTATAAAATATTTTCCGTTGTATATACAGAGTATAAAATATATGTAAAATTAATATACAATTATTTTAACTCTTTTTGAGTATATTTTTAATTATCATAATTTTATTGACTGTAGTTTCTACTGTTGGGTGGGTAATTCATAATTTGTAAGAATAATTATTTAATTATTTTAATTGTAATATTTAAAAAAATAATATTAATTACATAGGTACATAGATAGAAAAAAAAGTATGTTGCTGCGCGCGGGTCGACAATATCGACACATATTCGGCTAGTCGTATTTTTGGAGCGGCGATGCGGGAAAAGTAATTTAAGTCAACATTACATTAAATTAGAGGCAATTCATTAATAAATTGAAAAATTAAACATAATAGATAAAATAATTGCAAAATTATAATAAAATCAATTGATTAAAAAATTAAAAATTAAAAAATTAAAAATTAAAAATTAAAAAATTTTAAATTAAAAATGTTCAAGTTTCTGATTTTTTCCTTTGTATTTACCTAACTACCTATCTGTATGCCAAATTTGAACTTTCTAGGTCTTCTGGAACTGGGTTAGAATTTTGATCTATAGGTAAGTCAGTGATAAAAATGACGATTTTCGGACGTTAATATCTAAATAACGGTTTGAAGTGTGTTTATGAAATTTAGAGCACATATGTATCTCGTTAGTCTCAATATATGAGCCAAATTTGACATGTTTATGTGGAATAGTTTTGAGTTATGAGGGGGTCAAAAGTGGCTCCAAATGGTTCGTGTAATATTACACACGGTGCTGCTCGCCAGTTCTGTTAGCTAGAACTTGGCTTGACACGCTACCGCGTGTCTAGATTACCAAAATCATATATTGTAGTTTTTTAAATGAGTATACTCCTACCTACTACTTGTAAATGATAAATTGTTTAATTTGCCACTGTCACATGAAGATATATTTAGTATTTTATTATTACATTTTCCAGTATAATTCCTATTTGACATTTATCATTAAAGATTAACATCGCTTGATAATAAAATACAATCAATATTTTTTCTACAATTACATATTAATAATGTGAAAATAAATTGAATAAATATTCATCAGACTGTCAGAGAGACACGAATGACACAAGTTTATATTTTTGGTTATTAAATTGTTTATCGCTTAACATAAAATCAAGGTTAATTGTTTTTGTATCGCCATAAATATGAGTGATTTTGAGGATAACCCTTTAAATATTGGAGATCTACCCTATTGAATTCAAGAAATTCATCATCTTGCACAAAAGTTTTGGAAAGAATTAAGAAAAGTAAAATTATGTATATAAAGTCAATTTAGGGGCCTGCATCATGTTGTCTCTTTGTTTGTAGTTTTTAGTTGATAATATTTTGGTAAGTGGGAACACAATATTATCTACAAGTTGCTTTTATTTCAATTCAATACACAATGCGTGAGAAGGCCACTACAATCTCATTTTTAAAAAGTGAAATATGAGTAAACCAATACCTATGTAAGGTATATAGATTAATATTTGAAAATAAATAATTATATATTTTCATATTTATTACTAATGTATACATTATTGAGTATGATTTTTACTTTTATCTATAATTTTGAAGTAAATAAAATAAATGTTAAACATAGGATAGGTTAGGTTAGGCTTTACCAGTTTACCACAAACAAAGAATTTTTGTAAGTTATTTAATGAAATGAAAAAACATTATTATAGTTTCTAAGTATGTATTTATTTATTGGTTTTCTAATATTAAATCTAGATGTTTATGCAACAAAATAAATTTTATGATAAACCTAAAAATGAATCAAAAGATTCTAAAAACCATTAAAAAAAAATGGAATGAAATTAATATAAATTATAATGTTTATTCTTAGTAGTATTAATTAATATAGCAACTATATCGTTCTAAAATAATATTACTACATTCTTCAATTGAATGTGTTTATTTATTCTTCAACTGCAGTTGAGGCAGTATTTAAAATAACCTCAAAAGAAAATGGTGCAAACGCATAACCGAGTCCTTTGTAAAATTTGCTCTGGAACTCGACCCTAAAAAAAACATTCAAATTACATTAATGTTTCTATGTAAATGAATGAACTATGTATAAAAATAAATTATATAATATTTAGAAATAAAAGGATAAAACCATCTTAAAATCAACGTTTTAGATGCAACTCAACAAATTGTGTAATATTTTTTAATTTAGTAAAAACAATGAATTTACCAATGCAAACGAAGTGTATGCAAAAATGCAGAAAGACCTTCCATCAGTACAAGGATGCCAACTGTTAGAATTGCCCAAAAACCAAAGACAAACCACAACCAAACTCCACCAATCCATGAATTCAATATCAGACCTTTGGTCATAACCATACTCCATAACACTTCAGATAATTCTAAAAATATTTTAAAAATAAATTGAGTTAATATACAATTATACAATGAACAGTGAATGATACAAATAACTATGTATAACTTACGTGCATGAGCTAAAGAAAGAGCCCATAAGCGAAGGTATGATGCTGTATGACTCACAGATCCAAGTACGTATTCAATAGTATGAATTCCTTGATGAATAAAGAGTTCACCAATCTCATTTTCATCATGTCCACCGGCTGGGGGTGGTGGTGGTTGTTGAACTACTCGGCCAGCACCTTCTGCATCACCATTTTCAGTTGTTGCATGGCCATTAACCAACTTTACATAAATAAAATTTTATTTTTTTTAATGTTTATAAATATTTATATTTTTCATGTTATTTATTATTTAATATTATAAATAATTTACTTGTACATGTTTTTCTTTCTGTTGACGCATAATGTATATTGGTTTGGCAAGTAACATGATCGGTACACACAAAAGTGCTACTATGACCAAAAACTTTTGTACAGCACCCTGAAGAAAATATTAAATATTTACTAAAATAGCTGCAATATTCACCCAACCATTAAATAATGTAATTTTTATTTTATACATTTAATAATAATGCATTAAGGAATTTAGTTACCTGTCCAGAAAACATGTAAACTGTATTACAATTTTCTAATGCAACAGCATCTTTGAATAACACCATATTAATAAATGTAATTAAAATGGATGGTGCACACGCAGGACTATCAGCAAATTCTATAAACATTTTTAATTATAAGTAGATTATTTATAAAAATAATTTCATAATATCTATTATTGATAGATATTGAGACACATACCGTTTTGTGGTCCATATGATACCCATTTAATAAACATCAACAAAACCATATAAAAGAATAGGAATACCAAGAATATAACTTGTGGAATGAAATCACAATAAATGGAAAGCCGATCTTTAAAATACCTAGAAATTGAATTATTTATATAATATTACATAATTCAACTATTTGGATGTGTTAATTATTATAAAAAAAACCCTTACCTATAATTGTACAAACTTAGGCTAACACCACTCAACATGTGTAATACACCAATTATAATGGAAATTTTCATTTTATATGCATTTAAAAACACAATTTTGTTTAATGCCAACTACAAATAGAACAATAAATATTAATTTTAATATTGAACAAATAAATTGCAGACTACTTGTTAAAGTTTTGAAAATATATCATAAATGTTTACCTGCCATACGGGGTCAAGTCCTACAGGATATGGGACTTGATCATAATCTGATGATAAGGAAGGATTGATCTGTAAATCTTTATTACTCATTACAGTTGATACATTGTAATTTGTATGCCAATGGGATCCAAACAAATTGAGAGATTTGGAAAATATATCGTTGTATATAAAACCAGTATACATAGAAAAAAGACCCATGAGTAATATTATGTAACGTCCAGCAAAAAATATATTCCATACCTATAATAAATAATATTAAATTATAATATTAAAAATTCAATTTTTTTTATGTTTGTATGGTGTATAATTATATACTTCATTGTCAGTCTTTTTTGCAGCTAATGGTTTTTCTCGTAGTACTAAGAATCCAGCAAACAAAAACATCAAACATCCGTGACCAAGATCTCCGAACATCACAGCAAACAAGAATGGAAAACTAATTATGGTATATGGTGCTGAAATAAAATGAAAAATAAAAATAATAACATAAGTGGCATTATACTTTAGTTAAAATATTTAATATTATGAACTTTACTAGGATTTATTTCTCTGTAACTGGCAATTCCGTAAGCATCAACTAAGTTTTGGAAAGCACTTGTAAACTTATTTGTTCTGTTATAAGTTGGTGGATCTTCAAATGTGTCCATTCTATTTAATATAGGCGGTACAGAACTACCACTACGTTCCTATTAAAATTAGAAATTAAAAATTAAATGTTACATTTCACAATAATTTGTATTATGACTTACAGTTCCTCTACGTAAAGCCAATTGTATAGTTTCAATATCAAGTAGAGGTACCCAACATTCAGCAATTAAACATTTCTGTGTGACATCCAAATTAAATAAATTTAATGTATGATAAATTGCTTTGATCTTAACAACTTTAATAAACCAATTTTTTATATTTTTGGCTGCAGCAACAAGCACTCGGTGACGATGGTCTTGTGTTTGGCCCAATACCTATAATAAATAAATACATTTTATACTTAAATTTTGACATGTAATTTAAAAATAACATACGGTATTTAAATCTTCAATTCGTGTCATAACACCCATAGCCATTTCACGACGTTGTGACGGAGCTTCAGGACAAGGGTATAATGTAGCACGAAATCCTTCACATATTTTACGCACTCGAGACTTCAGTTGATCTCCTTGGAAGAATATTATAAAAACTGATTTGTGAACTTGGTCTCCCTAAAATAAATCATTTTTTATAAACAATATATAGAATTAATTGATTGACAGAAACTTAATTTGTAAAAATGAAATGAAAGAACAATTTATTTTTTAGATTCTGAGCGGAGCGATAAATGTCTAATATTAATATTACAATAATGTACATCAAACATCAGCTAATAGATTAATAAAAATGCCTCAATCCTTAGCTTAGCATATTCACTGCGTATCATATTTTTGTATACTTGTCGTGACGCTGATAAAATTCTAGTTTTAAAAAAAAATTTCCTAAAAATTGAAAAATTAAAATATCAGTGTACGGTTGGCACCTGATTATGAAACAATGCTTATAGAAGACGCTGACAAAAAACCAAAAGTTTAATCATAACGCTGACCAAATTATAGTCCATTAAATAACAAGATACATGATGCCAATTGGCGTCATTCAGCATATGTAAAATATGAACGATGACGCCAATTGGCATTTCACGCAGCGAATGTGTTAATATTTATTATATTTTATGGTAGCAGAGTGGATCTAGTTAATACTTTAAATATGAAATAAAACTAAGGAAAAACAGGAATTTTTAAGCTAAACCAGTTTTGTACACAAATTATTTTATTATAGTAATTCAATAACAAATAACTGTAAATACATGTAATTTTCACCTAATGTTTATATTAGTATTTTCCATGAATTTCGATAAATAAAATGTATGCTTGGTCAAAGAGTTCAACAATTTAATACAAGGTTCTTCATATGTTGTTTTTAAGGGAATTATAAAATATTATTATACTATAAATAAATTGAGAGCATACCTACAGTACTTTTTTAGGAACGTTTGAAATTATAACAAATTTAACGAAAATGTTCAAATTATTATGTGATTACCTAAAACTTATAATCAATATACATACTTAAGATTTGAAAATTTAATACAAGGATCATTTAAAGTTTTGCTTATAAGAATAATAAAAAAAGTTGAGAGTAATTCCACTAATACTTTTTATGAGTTCCACAATTTAAATTTTTATGTAATTGGATATTCTTACATAAAAATGTTTTTGTTATGATTCAAAAAGTATTATTTATAGAAACTTGAAACATTCCACAGTAACTTAAATTATAAGTTTCTATAGTCAATGATTTCAAAATATTTAGGATATTTTTAAGCTATTGCCTATTGACACTACAAACTCAGCAACACCATTCTAATGTAAGTCGATATTAATTATAAAAGTAAGTAACAATAAAATAAGATATAAATATATATAATTATAATTAATATATTATAATAAATGCGATGTTTTCGTCAAAAATTAATTCAACCTACCATATTAGTGTTTAATATTAATAATAAATTAAATTACTATAATAGCAATATAATATTATTATATGATATGCAATATAATTATGCATAATATAAATATATTATACTTAGTAATAGTAATAACAATGACAAACCATCTCCGCTCAAAATAGTTTTTTGTATGCATCATTTTAATGAATTTCAATGTAACAGATCTTTTACAGTGACCTGCTTAATGATTATACTCTGTTCAAAATAAGACCATGACCTGGCGGCCGAGTTATGCGCATGGGCGTGACTTTCTACCGTGGCAGCGCCCGAACCTGTCGCCTTAGTGGGGACGGCGTCTGACCGTTGAGGAACAAAAACTAGTCACCGCCAGGTGATCATCTTATTTTGAACAGAGTATAGGTAGAATAAACACCAATTGTACAACAAAGCGTTTACCTACTTCATCGATTTATTTGAAATTTGAAATGTAAATCTATCATTTGTACTATGTAATCAAAAACAATTATTTAATTTATAAAATTTTTAAAAATGATTTCAATATAAATATAAACTACTATTGATATATATATACTATTATTTATTATTCATCATGATTCATTCTTACGGTTGATGGGTCTTCCAACGGAGTTTCAATTTCTGCTTGTCTCAAAAATACATTCCCACGACATGCACGCCATAACATTCGCTCAAATGCAGGAATTCTTTCACGTAGTATGACTCCAGCTACAAATCTTTAGTTTTAAAGGAAAACATTAGTTTATGAAACATTGTCCAACATTTATTAGACATATTAAAGCATTGAAGACAAAACCATATTAGCCAGACTATTAAAATTGTAAGTAAATAAAACTAAGATTGTGGTGGAATGATCAATGTAATATTCTCCCGTTTACCAATGTCTGCGCTGGACCTGCAATTCTTCCATGTATTCCACTCACCAATTCAGAAATGATAGATTATTAGAGCGTTTATGAAATAATTCAAATTAATTATTAAAAATAATTTATCAAACTCTCACAGCAAAACATAAATGCCCTTAGTACAAGCATATTTAAAAATATATATTATATATATATTTTGTATCTAGATAATATAAATTTGATTTAATCATAATTATGTTTTGTAAATATCCAATGTGTAGTTGTGTATATAAATAATAATATCAATATAGATACATACCCCAATTGCACTGGGCCAGCGTTGACTTGACGTGCTATTGAGTCATCACTAATTAGAGCTCGCGTCATCGATTCTGTTGGGTGCAAACCACCCTCTTGCTATTGTACACCACACACACACACACATATGGTCGTAAAATTTGAATAAATGTTTGATTTTTAAGATTATTTAAAAAATTTATTAAATTATAAATTATCTTTTTATTATTTATTTGAGGTTAATACATTATATTATATGAACATTTCTTTGACAATTAATATTAAAATCAATTTTAGTTTGATGAAGTATTATTTTATTATTTAAAGGTAAATATTTATGATTGATTAAATTTATGAATGCTCAGTTTATAAATAAACAGTTCTTTCTTACCTAGTGTTCAATATAAATATGATTTACTTTTAATTTAATATCTGGTTTTTGTTTTTATTTTTATCATAACTTTTTATATAAAATATTTATAATGAAGGAAATGAAGTAGTTTTGTTTCGCAATGATTTTATAAGTGTAAAAGCAAAGCAGTGATGTACAAGCACCGTTTATGAAACCCATATTATTTTCAACATTCCATAACAATTGAACCACAAACCAGTGTTATTTATTATTAATATTTAAATAATTGTATTAGTCAATTAGACAAGCATGTATAGAAAAATTAAATATCCAGCCCAAAACTGTTGTATATAATTTACAATTCTAAGGAAAAAATTATAGTTGACAATTTACAAAATAATCCACCAATAAAAATTTAAAATATTAAAATATTAAGTTCAACAACAGTTTTAGACCAGGAAACCCAGGTCCAGTTATACTATACGAGAATGAAAAATAGGCAGCTATTGGGCATTTACATCCCTGTACCAATATGTATCTTATTTTAAAATATCCTCCACCACAATCTTATTTACAAACTAACACAATGCAATAAATTATGCTTTAATGATATTCGTAGTTAGTAAAAAATACATTCACAATATTATTGATAAACATAATATTAAATTTCCATTCAGTATAGAACTGTGATTCCCATTCACATTATAATACACATTAAATAATTTTTAAATGTGATTGATTCATGGATAGTATACTAAGTACATTGAAAATATAGTAATTACAATTAATTTTATAAGTATCAGTTATTCTTGAATAGTTTTTATGAATACATCACAAAATAAAATTACAAACAAGTAAAGACTTACTTATAGATAATTGGTGATTTAAAACACACTTATATAATTTTTTTAAATGTAATCCTCTAATTTTTACAAATACCAAGTATTTGCTAATTGATTAATAGGATAATAAGCAGTCAGAAAATATATTTACAATACCTATTAGTGTAAACAATTATTTCTTATCATATGTATAAAATAATAGATTTTATATATTGTAATCCATAGTAGTGGGCTTAAAATCAGTTTATAACTAGCCACGTAATGTGTTGGTTTTTCATTTTCAAGCACCAACCATGACCAAAATCACAGTACTTAAAATTAAGTTTAAAATAAAATAAGAATTAAAAATAAAACAAAACTGAATAGTTTAAAAAACCTTTCATATAAAAACTTACATGAAATTAATATAGGATTGAATGGGGTTTTCAACCAGAAACTGTCATAATAGCATTGCTAATTACTAATTTCCAAAATTAACTGGTTTTTAAACTCTTGGTTTGGGCTAGTTATGATGTCAGAAAATGAAAGTATTATCCAGCTAGTTATAAGCAGATTTTAAAAAACTAGTTTTAAGCATTGCTATAACTTTCAATGAGTTCAACAAGAAAAACAAATTAAAAAAATTGAAACAATTTGAATGAAAAAACTAAATCAAATCTGTTGCAAAATAGGAAATTGTATTGGAAATTTTCTGATAATGACAATTCAACTAGTAAGAATAATACAAATGTTAATTAAGTCTTTTTTATGAAAAACATACAGGACAAGTATTAAATATCAAGAAAATTCACAAAATATTAAATCAGAACAATTCAATTAACACACAAGATCATAATAACACATTTAGAGAATCTACCTAAAGTAGTAGTTCCCAACCTTTTCTGGTTCAAATTTTGACTCTGATTTTTTCAATATTTTTGAACCCCAGTTTAACAATCGAGCCGAATACCTAAATAATAGTATATTTATAATCCCACAGATTACATGATTGCATTGGATAGAATATCAAAGCATATAGCAATTAAAACCAATACTACATATGAAAATATTGTAAAACCGTACCCTAGTTTGAGGGCTTGACCGCCGGCACGAAGTCCTTCTTCGCCTAGCAGTGTCACTTGCTCGTCCTCCCGATTTGGGTCAGCCATCTGCGAAGCAACCGCGGTACCCATTTGCTGTTCAGTCTGGCAACACATACACACACGCGCGCGCATAGGGACGACATACGGACATACACCACCCCACCAGACAAATATTTTTGTTATAGTAAGTATTTGATGAAAATGATTGTATGAAAAAGCAAGCATCAAAAAATATTATACATTACATTATCATATTTTTGAATAAATAATATAACTATAGGTTTTATAAAAATGTTATAAATAAGGTTAAATATATATGAAACTATGTCAAATCAATTAAATAAAATTTTAAAGTATAATACAATTTTTAATGCTTACCAGTAATAAAAATTAAGCAAATAAAATAAGAAGCTTAACTAAATAATGGTAAAAAAATTATCAATAAAATAATAAAATAATTTATTAAAGCAGAAACTTTGTATTTCAAGTTTCACTTTATACAATAGTATAAACAAAAGTGATAATTGAAAATAAATATAATTTGTTTAATGGTTTTTTAAAATAATTTGAAAAGCTCAAAATGGATTCTTATTAATAAAATATATTTATTTTCACAAAGACTAAACACTATATACTATATACTTCTATTATTTAAGTTTATTTTTTTATAATTAACTTATATTACCCACGCCAAAATATGCATGCTTTATATGACAATTATCTTGCCATGTTGACACAATACTTTTATATAATTAATTATTTCATGAGATGCCATGTATTGCTATAACATGCATGTAGGTATAGGATTGACAAATTAAAAATGTTATTAAAGAAGATTCATTTTTAAATTTAATAACATAAAAATAATAAAGTTTTTTAAACATGATAATATGATCCCCATCATCATTGATATAAAAATAAACGATATTATTAATACTTAGCTATATGAAATACAAAAATAATGATATATACCAAAATTAAAACAATCAATATATATATTTTTTTTATATACTAGTCAACATCGCCAAACAAAAGTTTATTATATTTACAATACTCAGGCAACACACCACTATTTATTTACTTATTTTTTTTTTAAAATAGGTAACACTTCTTCACCACAGAATAACATTTATTCTGTTATTATACCTCCACCGTCGTTTTTTAAATCTCTTATCATTTCACAATATGGATAAAATGAATAAAAAAAATAAATATCGAGCAATAAATTATTTCATTGGTGATACAGTTAAGAGAGAGAATGAGAGTGCAGTTATGTTAACTGAACAGAAGATGCAAACATGCAAATGATAAGCAGTATAATATAGTTTATAAACATTATACCATACCTACTATAAATACTATTTAAAATATAAAATTGTTTAATAACAAATTTTAGAAGATTGATATATGTATCCTCCAATATAAATTAAATAATGGACTGGGAGAATAATTAATATTGGTTAAATATTTTTAATTAAGTAAATTCAATAAATAGTATTTTTTAGTAAAATGTCATATACAAAAGAGTAACTACTTAATATTTTATAAATATGATTTAATTTAAACGCATTAATCATTTTACAAATTAAATATCTAATTAAAAAATATAAAAATATAATATTATATAAGCTAAATGGAATATTTATCAAATTATACATTTGTGCAATCAGCAAATAAAGCTCAACTTGATAATACTTTCAGGCAATTAAAAAGTTGTAAAAAGGAAAAATATACTAATCAAATCACAAGAATAAATAAAATGCAGTGAAGTAAGAAAATGATAGAAACCCAAATGAAAACTTAAAAATCCAACTATGGTGAGGTGGTTCCTGTTTAATTTGATGTTGCCAGATACTGAAACTTTTGAGATCATTATAATATAATTGTATATTATTTTTTATAAAATCTCTAGACAACTAGGTACCATTAATTTTATGGAAATATTATTTTTATTAGGCAATAGGCATAAATGCATATTTAACCAATCTAACAATTCTTTTATTTAATTTAGGTATTAATAATTATTATTATATAGTAGAAACCTACTTAGATAACTTTAAATATTTAATTTAAAGATAGTAAGTTAAAAAAAATTACCTCGTCAAAGAATACTTGAGTTTTTCGTAAGATATGCTTGAGTTCTGTTAACTCAAGAAAATTACGTTTCAAGGCTTCAGCGTTATGATTTACTTCTCTCAACTCATTTTCTAATTTTTCAAATGTAGCCTAAAATAAAATGTATGAAAATAAAGTTAATAGGTTGAATAATGAAGGTTTTTAAAATTATGTATTTGATTTCCGTAGACATGGACTTATATATTTAATGAACTGATGAATTACTTCAAGGTCAATCATTTCACGGGGCTGAGGAGCCTCGGGATTTTCACCAGTGTCCAACATGGGTATTCCGTCCTTTTTAATCTCCTTTTCCAAGTAGCGCAGTTTCCGTTCCATTTCATCGCAGCGGCGCACCTCGCTAACAAATTTCCGTTGAAAAGCATTGACATCAGGATTTAACTGACCATCGAGAAAGAACCAAGTGAAGAGGGAACGAAAAATATGATTAACAAAAATCAGAAAAAAAAACAGGTTTTATATTATAATATTATGTACTTACGTCCCGAAACTGAACCAGTCCCAATTCACCGAGTTCGGATACGCAGGCATACGCGGCTTCGCTCTGCAAAAACAACTGGCACAGGGCCATTTCCTCGCTGCGGAACAGCGATCCCATGGCTGCGATTCGGATGTCCGGGTTCTCCGATAGAAAGATGACTTGGAAGCCCCGCGGTCGCCGCAGATATTATTAACGGTTACGAAAAAGTAACGATACTCGCTAAAATGTGCGAAGCTAACCGCGATCGATATTGGATAGACGTCTAGAACAGGGTTCGACGATGCTATAATCTATACTCCAAACGGGTGTGGCTGGCAGACACTTATCTATGGGCAGATATTTCACCATACGGTTGACAAGTGACAACGGGGATGGGCGATGCGATCCGGACCAGGTCAGTATGATATTATCTCGAACATTACAAGTAGCAACAAACATGAACAAACTGTGGTTTATTATTGAAACGGAGAAACTGCTGCACTGATAACAAGTGATATTCTCTAATGATATACTGATATCACATTTGCCAGTTTTGATAACGAAATTTAGATTTTAGACAAAGTAATAAAAGAATTAAGAAACGCAGTGTCGAAAACGGAAGAAGTAGGTCTAATAATAACAATAAATATTATTTGCTTAACAACAAAACACCGAGTCTTGACTACCGAATACTTAAAACGGTTAACTTTACCATAACAGGTCCGTCACCTGACTCGTCTCCGCCGTGAAGCCATGTCTGAATACTCTGAATATGAATCATTTGGTGGAGGACGCTTAAAATTAAAAAATGATTCTGGAATAAAAAAGTAAGTGGACTTCATAGACCTTATATAAGTATTTTACTATACTAGTATTATATTATACTTAATATAAGGTATATGGTGGACTTTAAGAATAATACACAGAGGTGCCAGGTTTTGAAAATGTCATGGGGGAGGGCGACAGCCTCACTATTTTATAAACACATGTAGGTACAGTTTTACCTATATCTTACCATATATTTCCTATTTTTTTCCTTGAATTGTTCGTTAAACAATTACAAAATAGTTATTTATTGTTTTGTAATACAATTTTAATAGTACTTATTAGCATCATCAAAAATAACAAAACAAAAATTAAGAAATGCCAATTTATTTTTGAAAGTCATATTTATTTTTTAAAGTTATAATATTATAGAAAATGTACTTTTCCGCACTTTGGAATTGTTTATGAATTTGTTCGCAACAATTTCTAAATTTATTTCTTCAATTTTCATCACAGTGACCATTTACAACGGAAATATCAAATATCATTCAACCATATTTCACTCATTGTACCTACACCTCGTAGAATGCCGAAAAAAAAGTCCCGATAAAAACTTACCCTCAAAAGAGTACCTATTAATAAAATCATTTAAAAAAACATAATTGAACATTTATCAACTATTATTGAACATATTGTATTATTTATCATTTATATTTTATACCGATATAGTTATTACGTTAAACAAAAATTTTAAAAATTGAAAAAAAAGTTGAGCATAAATCCACAATAATTTGTTATACTTGAAGTTCGATTTTTACAACATTGGATATTCAATAGATTCTTATAGAGCGATTTCCTTTTTTTGTTGTAATTAATTTAGAAATAACCAAAGATAGTTGAAATTTACACCATATTATGTTTATTTCATCATTTTCTATACTTGGTTGACAAACCTTTTTCGCTCCAAATGTTTTTTTGTAAACAATGATATTAAACCATGTGACCCACTTGTAACCTACTGTATAGCAAAGCAACAACTACTTACTCGCTTTTTTATGTTGTTACTTTGTAATGGTGAAATAAGTTGTTGATTTTGAGGGGAAGTTAGGTTAGGGATAGGTAAGAACATTGGAACTTGGACTCGTAAACGATTAATGATTTTTCTACAAAGTGTATAAGACATGTTTGCATTTAGATGAGATAAGAAGTTATTTTCATCTAGATGAGAAGTAACTAAATAGTATTTTTCTATATTTGTTATGCTTAAAGTTATATTGAAATATTTAATGGGAGGAATCAGTGGCGCCAAAGTCCTAAAAATTTAGTCGGGCAAAAAATATTTGAAATTGCCCCAATATTTAAATATTAGCCCCAATGACGTACATAAAAGGGTGGAGGACCGAGGAGGTATTAGTTTTTACCTAAAAATTATTGATGTTCAGTTTTAAAAGAAAATTTAAATCACACATTTGTGTAATCCCCACCAACCAAGACGGATTAGAGCCAATTTTCATGCTAAATTTTATATGCTAAATTTTCAAAAGATGTCGGGCCAAGGCCCGTCCTCAATATAGGGTTCGGCGCCACTGGAGGAATTACAACAAATCTTTAACATGTTGTAGAAAAAACCTAATACCTCAATAATGTTATAAAAATAAATAAGCGTTACTTTCCAAATTACCCTTGTATAAGTGGTAAACCTCTTTAAATTATTACTCGTCGGTACATATTATAATATATTATGATTAATATCCGTGGTAAATTATCTAAAAATACTATGCATCATACTATACTCTGTTCCATCTAAGAGTGAACCACTCGGCTGACCAAAACACGTTTTTCCCCGCATCTCCATCACAATCCAGACATTGGTGAGAGCGTTAGCGCAAGCGCCCGAGGATGGCCGGCGATGACTGCCTGCCAATCACAGATCGCATGCGGGGTCAGGCACTGTTCAGCGGCTCAGTCTGCCTGTGCGATAGCGGTTCACTCTTAGATAGAACAGAGTATATTATCATGGTACATCAAAGAAATTTAAGAAGCTACAACATTGGATGTGCATTGTACATATTATAATATATTATTACTCATTTATAATGCATTGTTATAATGTTATTAGGTACTAATATTATTATTTATACACCTATTACCTATCTATTGTACCTATTTATAAAGACCACTGATTAATGTTGATTATTTTAATATATGCATTAGGGCAGCTAAAAAAAATCTGACCCTTTTTAATTAAATACCTTATATACATTTTATCAAGGTTTTTCTTTTTTTTTTATCCTTTTAAAAATCCACGGTAAAATATGACACAGTATTAGTTTTATATTTATACTTAAAACAATTTAATTTACTTAATGTATTCTATAAATAGATGATTTTAATTTTAACAGAAAAAAGAAGAAGAGTAAAAACAAAGAGAAAACCATAGAAAAAATGAATAAAGGATTAGAACAGGAAAAAGTAACTAAGGAGTACCATGTACCTTCTACTAAGGCTGAATTGGCCTTCATGAAACAACAGGAAAAATTGGTAAATTATTTTTCATTATTAATTTATTATTTTATCAAGAAGCAAATAGTACTTTTTTTTTTTTTTTATTTTTAACAAGATATATACAATCTGTACCCTTATAGTCCGCGCAACGAAAACTGGCCGGTTACCCCCGAAACCCGCCCGCCATGAACGTGCCGCTAGCCGCGGGTTCTCAAACTACGCGTCGCCGCTGCGATGTTATACAATAGGCGCACGCGGTGTGTTGTTTTAATAACCACTTATTGAAAATTGCCACTAGAGTCGCACCAGTCACCGGCCAGTTTTCGTTGCGCGGACTATAGGCACAATAAGAATATGTGATAAAATATTTTGTACATGAAAACGTGAGGGGAGAAGCCAACCAGTGAAGGCACTACCTATAATGTTTATTTATATATATATATTTTTTTTTTTTTTTAATTATTTGGATTATTCATTTAGTAAATCACGACACCAATTTCTTTTTAGTCGTCGAGTGGGGTTGCCTGGAATTGTGCGAGAAGCTAAATTGGATATAAGGGGATTAGGATGGTATGGAAGTCTGTTATGGAATCTTTTGTAATATGTTATTGCTTCAGCGTGAACTGTTTTTATGTTTAGATCTGTGTGCAGAGAGTAGTTGGAGACATATGGTGGGGCATTAGTGATTAATCTTAAAATTTTATTTTGAACGGTTTGGATTTTATTTACATTAGTTATTTTTGCACTGCCCCGTAGTTGTAGGCCATAAGTCCACATGGGCTTGATTAATGATTTATATATAAGAAGTTTGGTGTTTAGTTTAGTGTGCTTGTTAGATATTAGTGGTTTAACTGAGCGTAGTCGTTCGTTTAGGGCGAGTTTTTTAGTTTTGATATGAGGTCCCCAGGTCAGGCGACGGTCAAAGGTTAGGCCTAAGTACTTAACCGATTGGGATGATGGGATTGGTATGTTGTTAAGAAAGACTCCTGGGCAGGGAGGGAAACGAAGAGTGAATGTAGTATGAATGGATTTAGATTGGTTGACTTGTACTCGCCATTTTTCATACCAGACAGACATTAGGTCAAGGTGGTTTTGAAGGTTTAAAGAAGCAATGTGAGGGTCTTCATGTACTGATATAATTGCCTTATCATCAGCAAATTCAGCTACAGATGTTGTTGGAGAGGTAGGTTGGTCTGCTGCATATACATTGTATAGTATAGGTGAAAGAATGCCACCTTGAGGGACTCCTGCGCTAATTTTTTCAATATTTGAAAATGAAGAGCCAAACTTGACTTGGAAGTGGCGATCCGTGAGGTAAGATTTAATGAGTAAGAAATATGTTGTGGGAAGAAAAGCTTTTAGCTTAAATAGTAGCCCTTCATGCCAAACCCTGTCAAAGGCTTGTGAGACATCAAGGAACACGCACGAGCAGTATTTTTTCTTTTCGAGAGAGAACGAAATGGCGTCGACTAGTCTATGCAATTGATGAGTTGTGGCATGAGAGGCACGAAAGCCAAATTGCGTGTTCGGAATTATGTTGTTTGAAAAAATGTATGGCAAAATTCTTTTAAGAATAAGCCTTTCAAAAATTTTTACGAAAAAGGGCAAAAGACTTATAGGTCGATATGAAGAGAGAATATCAGGTGGTTTTTTTGGTTTTGGAAATACAATTATTATTGAAAATTTCCAAAGTTGCGGGAAGTAAGCTAATCTTAGGGAGGCATTTATCAGGACCGTTAGCAGGACAATTGCTCTTTTTGGGAGGCATTTGGCAACTTCCGCAGTTATTAGATCATAACCAAAATAGTACTTAACTAATTTATTTCGTATTGATTAATTGATTTTAGCAAAAAGAAAAAATTCTGAAA